AATACAATTGACACATTATCTGTGTATATGAACGTGTCCTTTAAGGTGCAACAGGTGCTAAAATTAAAACATTTGTACTCGGAACCAGACCACTGATATATCATTCAATGTATATTCGCACAATACAGATGTTGATTTTGTTTTTCTTTCGATAAACAATCCCCATAACATCAGCTTTGCTTTGATGCCTACTTTTGGTGAGGATACGAATTGTATGAGGTGCTGAAAATAGTTTCAGAAAGGTGGTGAGCAATGTTTTTCAATAAAAATGACCTTCTTTCATCCATTGTGCCCTTGTATCAAACATGGGTTCTCAGTACATGTGGCTGTTGGTCTCTAAGATTAGAAATTAATAGCATGTGTGTTGTGTAACCAGCAATAATCAGCCTGTCAAAATAAATTCAAGAAAGAGAAGGGTTATTTCTGATCGTTTTATTTTCAACAGTATCTGAAAGTTGACATTGTACAGGGTGGTGCAGAAACCAAGGCTACAGTTGCAATAATGCTGTCAAATGTCCAGCATTTGGTAGGAATATGGAGATATAGTTGTCTTTAACCGTGGTGTCCACCTCCTTTGCCACCTCCTCCATGTCCGCCTCCTCCTTTGCCACCACCTCCATGTCCGCCGCCTCCTTTACCACCACCTCCGTGGCCGCCTCCTCCTTTGCCACCGCCGCCTCCTTTACCACCGCCTCCTTTCCCGCCTCCTCCTTTGCCACCGCCGCCTTTACCACCGCCTCCTTTGCCACCGCCTCCCTTGCCGCCGCCGCCACTGCCTCCTTTGCCGCCACCGCCTCCTTTGCCACCACCGCCGTGGCCACCATAGGCTGAACCAAAGAGAGCTGTGAACACTGCAAAGATAAACAGCATATCAGTGGTTTTACATTATCAGACAGGGTATGCTTATACTTCTTAATGGTAGACAGTTTCCAAGCATAGCTTTATTATGCATTTAGCCGCATAACAGTTGAAAGAAGTAGCCCATAATGAAAGCTTCAGTAAACACATCACTTTGGCACGTTTATAATTAATAAGTCAGAATGTCGATGTTAGAATTTCTGTACTTACCCAAGGCCACCACGAGAGCAACTTTAAATATTTGCATCTTGGAGCTTACGTCTATTCACTTTTAGAATAAACACTCTGGATGACAATGTGACAGCTCACAGGGTCTTATATGCGAATGAAACAGGAAATCAACATACTTAATCTCAATACTAGCACTGGATGAAGCATGATATTTGATTATTTACTGCTACTTTTTCCCCCAGCTTTTGTTTTGAAATAAAATTATATTATGTAATATCACCTTGACTTTTGTCATTTTCCATTCTTTATCATGTACATCTTCCTGCATGATCATCAAAGTCATGCTGTGTACCTGCGACCTAACCTGGAATCCCTGGGTTCTTTCACTGCTGGATCGCATGCTGGGTATATTGAATCATCCAATGAAATCACATCAATACCCATATAGGAAAAAGTGAATGGACAGAAGACTTATAAAAGGAAGCGACAATGCATAAATGGCAGTGCCGTATTTCTGTGATGTGCTGACGCTGGTTACTTGGAGTAGACATTTTGTTGCTGTTGTGTCAAGTTACACATATAGTGGATTGTATATGGAACAAACAATGCAGACGGTATGGTAGATTTGAATAAATGCATAAAGATCATGGAACCGATGGTATGCTACTATATTTAGCACTATTTTTATGAACTTAAACTAGCATGTCACCAGAGTTTTATTGAAGGTAATACATACAGACGGTGTGGTATATTTAAATAAATGCATAAAACCCATGCAACCGATGGTATGGTGCATACACTAGATCAGCAATATTTTGATGAACTTAAACTAGCATGTCACCAGAGGTATATTTAAGGTAATACATACAAAACCTTTTGTCTTGACTTTTGACTATATTCGGTGTGTGTCGGCATATGTGGCACTATTTGTGATATCATAATTCTGTGTATAATACAGCCACTTTGGATTCTGAAAATTGCACTGAATAGAAGAAGAGATGTCAGAGCACCTCATTGTAGCTGGAAGCTGTGTGTGTTTCAGCTATGAGATTTAAACCGAGAAAATAACGACAGTTGATGCCTACACAGATATTTGCTTTTCTCACCCTTGCTTTGGAAGGCTTTGTCAGCCGTGATTCAGAGGTTTTTACAGCTTCTCATGGGTGAATTTTCTAAAACTACTTTGAGGCAGGCAGCAATCAATTGAGATTATATATAAACTACCTATTTTGCAGTCGCATTGGAAACACGTGTACGTTTATTAATACAATTGACACATTATCTGTGTATATGAACGTGTCCTTTAAGGTGCAACAGGTGCTAAAATTAAAACATTTGTACTCGGAACCAGACCACTGATATATCCTACAATGTATATTCGCACAATACAGATGTTGATTTTGTTTTTCTTTCGATAAACAATCCCCATAACATCAGCTTTGCTTTGATGCCTACTTTTGGTGAGGATACGAATTGTATGAGGTGCTGAAAATAGTTTCAGAAAGGTGGTGAGCAATGTTTTTCAATAAAAATGACCTTCTTTCATCCATTGTGCCCTTGTATCAAACATGGGTTCTCAGTACATGTGGCTGTTGGTCTCTAAGATTAGAAATTAATAGCATGTGTGTTGTGTAACCAGCAATAATCAGCCTGTCAAAATAAATTCAAGAAAGAGAAGGGTTATTTCTGATCGTTTTATTTTCAGCAGTATCTGAAAGTTGACATTGTACAGGGTGGTGCAGAAACCAAGGCTACAGTTGCAATAATGCTGTCAAATGTCCAGCATTTGGTAGGAATATGGAGATATAGTTGTCTTTAACCGTGGTGTCCACCTCCTTTGCCACCTCCTCCATGTCCGCCTCCTCCTTTGCCACCACCTCCATGTCCGCCGCCTCCTTTACCACCACCTCCGTGGCCGCCTCCTCCTTTGCCACCGCCGCCTCCTTTACCACCGCCTCCTTTCCCGCCTCCTCCTTTGCCACCGCCGCCTTTACCACCGCCTCCTTTGCCACCGCCTCCCTTGCCGCCGCCGCCACCGCCTCCTTTGCCGCCACCGCCTCCTTTGCCACCACCGCCGTGGCCACCATAGGCTGAACCAAAGAGAGCTGTGAACACTGCAAAGATAAACAGCATATCAGTGGTTTTACATTATCAGACAGGGTATGCTTATACTTCTTAATGGTAGACAGTTTCCAAGCATAGCTTTATTATGCATTTAGCCGCATAACAGTTGAAAGAAGTAGCCCATAATGAAAGCTTCAGTAAACACATCACTTTGGCACGTTTATAATTGATAAGTCAGAATGTCGATGTTAGAATTTCTGTACTTACCCAAGGCCACCACGAGAGCAACTTTAAATATTTGCATCTTGGAGCTTACGTCTATTCACTTTTAGAATAAACACTCTGGATGACAATGTGACAGCTCACAGGGTCTTATATGCGAATGAAACAGGAAATCAACATACTTAATCTCAATACTAGCACTGGATGAAGCATGATATTTGATTATTTACTGCTACTTTTTCCCCCAGCTTTTGTTTTGAAATAAAATTATATTATGTAATATCACCTTGACTTTTGTCATTTTCCATTCTTTATCATGTACATCTTCCTGCATGATCATCAAAGTCATGCTGTGTACCTGCGACCTAACCTGGAATCCCTGGGTTCTTTCACTGCTGGATCGCATGCTGGGTATATTGAATCATCCAATGAAATCACATCAATACCCATATAGGAAAAAGTGAATGGACAGAAGACTTATAAAAGGAAGCGACAATGCATAAATGGCAGTGCCGTATTTCGGTGATGTGCTGACGCTGGTTACTTGGAGTAGACATTTTGTTGCTGTTGTGTCAAGTTACACATATAGTGGATTGTATATGGAACAAACAATGCAGACGGTATGGTAGATTTGAATAAATGCATAAAGATCATGGAACCGATGGTATGCTACTATATTTAGCACTATTTTGATGAACTTAAACTAGCATGTCACCAGAGTTTTATTGAAGGTAATACATACAGACGGTGTGGTATATTTAAATAAATGCATAAAACCCATGCAACCGATGGTATGATGCATACACTAGATCAGCAATATTTTGATGAACTTAAACTAGCATGTCACCAGAGGTATATTTAAGGTAATACATACAAAACCTTTTGTCTTGACTTTTGACTATATTCGGTGTGTGTCGGCATATGTGGCACTATTTGTGATATCATAATTCTGTGTATAATACAGCCACTTTGGATTCTGAAAATTGCACTGAATAGAAGAAGAGATGTCAGAGCACCTCATTGTAGCTGGAAGCTGTGTGTGTTTCAGCTATGAGATTTAAACCGAGAAAATAACGACAGTTGATGCCTACACAGATATTTGCTGTTCTCACCCTTGCTTTGGAAGGCTTTGTCAGCCGTAATTCAGAGGTTTTTACAGCTTCTCATGGGTGAATTTTCTAAAACTACTTTGAGGCAGGCAGCAGTCAATTGAGATTATATATAAACTACCTATTTTGCAGTCGCATTGGAAACACGTGTACGTTTATTAATACAATTGACACATTATCTGTGTATATGAACGTGTCCTTTAAGGTGCAACAGGTGCTAAAATTAAAACATTTGTACTCGGAACCAGACCACTGATATATCATTCAATGTATATTCGCACGATACAGATGTTGATTTTGTTTTTCTTTCGATAAACAATCCCCATAACATCAGCTTTGCTTTGATGCCTACTTTTGGTGAGGATACGAATTGTATGAGGTGCTGAAAATAGTTTCAGAAAGGTGGTGAGCAATGTTTTTCAATAAAAATGACCTTCTTTCATCCATTGTGCCCTTGTATCAAACATGGGTTCTCAGTACATGTGGCTGTTGGTCTCTAAGATTAGAAATTAATAGCATGTGTGTTGTGTAACCAGCAATAATCAGCCTGTCAAAATAAATTCAAGAAAGAGAAGGGTTATTTCTGATCGTTTTATTTTCAACAGTATCTGAAAGTTGACATTGTACAGGGTGGTGCAGAAACCAAGGCTACAGTTGCAATAATGCTGTCAAATGTCCAGCATTTGGTAGGAATATGGAGATATAGTTGTCTTTAACCGTGGTGTCCACCTCCTTTGCCACCTCCTCCATGTCCGCCTCCTCCTTTGCCACCACCTCCATGTCCGCCGCCTCCTTTACCACCACCTCCGTGGCCGCCTCCTCCTTTGCCACCGCCGCCTTTACCACCGCCTCCTTTCCCGCCTCCTCCTTTGCCACCGCCGCCTTTACCACCGCCTCCTTTGCCACCGCCTCCCTTGCCGCCGCCGCCACCGCCTCCTTTGCCGCCACCGCCTCCTTTGCCACCACCGCCGTGGCCACCATAGGCTGAACCAAAGAGAGCTGTGAACACTGCAAAGATAAACAGCATATCAGTGGTTTTACATTATCAGACAGGGTATGCTTATACTTCTTAATGGTAGACAGTTTCCAAGCATAGCTTTATTATGCATTTAGCCGCATAACAGTTGAAAGAAGTAGCCCATAATGAAAGCTTCAGTAAACACATCACTTTGGCACGTATATAATTAATAAGTCAGAATGTCGATGTTAGAATTTCTGTACTTACCCAAGGCCACCACGAGAGCAACTTTAAATATTTGCATCTTGGAGCTTACGTCTATTCACTTTTAGAATAAACACTCTGGATGACAATGTGACAGCTCACAGGGTCTTATATGCGAATGAAACAGGAAATCAACATACTTAATCTCAATACTAGCACTGGATGAAGCATGATATTTGATTATTTACTGCTACTTTTTCCCCCAGCTTTTGTTTTGAAATAAAATTATATTATGTAATATCACCTTGACTTTTGTTATTTTCCATTCTTTATCATGTACATCTTCCTGCATGATCTTTAAAGTCATGCTGTGTACCTGCGACCTAACCTGGAATCCCTGGGTTCTTTCACTGCTGGATCGCATGCTGGGTATATTGAATCATCCAATGAAATCACATCAATACCCATATAGGAAAAAGTGAATGGACAGAAGACTTATAAAAGGAAGGGACAATGCATAAATGGCAGTGCCGTATTTCGGTGATGTGCTGACGCTGGTTACTTGGAGTAGACATTTTGTTGCTGTTGTGTCAAGTTAAACATATAGTGGATTGTATATGGAACAAACAATGCAGACGGTATGGTAGATTTGAATAAATGCATAAAGATCATGGAACCGATGGTATGCTACTATATTTAGCACTATTTTGATGAACTTAAACTAGCATGTCACCAGAGTTTTATTGAAGGTAATACATACAGACGGTGTGGTATATTTAAATAAATGTATAAAACCCATGCAACCGATGGTATGATGCATACACTAGATCAGCAATATTTTGATGAACTTAAACTAGCATGTCACCAGAGGTTTATTTAAAGTAATACATACTGTTCTGAAGACATGTCTGTTCATTAAAATGTGCTCCAAAACGCACCCGGAGCCTATAGATCGCGCTTCTCGTGCACTCGTGTTAGTGTTAAATAAAGAATCTGTTCTCCAAAACGCACCCGATGCATAACGATCGCATCGCCTGAACGCACCAACGTATGGCTGTGACTGCACGTGAAATGTGTGGGTTGTGAGCAAATATAAGGCGGAAGCGCGCATCAGTTAGTTACTTGGTCAGAATTCGTTAATTAGATGGTTAGTTAGATGGTTAGAAAGTTGGTCATAGTTCGCTATAGAGCTGGTTAGAGAGTTCGCTAGATGAATAGTTAGATGGTTAGAGAGAGAGAGAGAGAGAGAGGGTTGGCAGAATGTTCGTTAGAAGGTTCGTTAGAAGGTTCGTTAGAGAGCTGATGAGTTAGATGGTGTTAGAGTGTTAGAGTGTTTGACAGTGTTAAGACTTCCTTAGGAGTAGCAGTTAGAATTAGCATTTAGTTTCTATCATTTGAGGTTTATTCATCTTTTCTTCATATAATAACAGGTAATCACGTTTAGTTCCTCATAGATCTTCATAGTTTTATAATAGGTTATCACGTTTAGTTCCTGGTTTCATTCAAAAAAGGTAAGTCATACAAATTTTAGATTAGTTTTCATTTTAAGTTAAACCACGCTCAAATATTCAGTTCCACTGCGCAACACATACAAAACCTTTTGTCTTGACTTTTGACTATATTCGGTGTGTGTCGGCATGTGTGGCACTATTTGTGATATCATAATTCTGTGTATAATACAGCCACTTTGGATTCTGAAAATTGCACTGAATAGAAGAGATGTCAGAGCACCTCATTGTAGCTGGAAGCTGTGTGTGTTTCGGCTATTAGATTTAAACCGAGAAAATAACGACAGTTGATGCCTACACAGATATTTGCTGTTCTCACCCTTGCTTTGGAAGGCTTTGTCAGCCGTGATTCAGAGGTTTTTACAGCTTCTCATGGGTGAATTTTCTAAAACTATTTTGAGGCAGGCAGCAATCAATTGAGATTATATATAAACTACCTATTTTGCAGTCGCATTGGAAACACGTGTACGTTTATTAATACAATTGACACATTATCTGTGTATATGAACGTGTCCTTTAAGGTGCAACAGGTGCTAAAATTAAAACATTTGTACTCGGAACCAGACCACTGATATATCCTACAATGTATATTCGCACAATACAGATGTTGATTTTGTTTTCACTTTCGATAAACAATCCCCATAACATCAGCTTTGCTTTGATGCCTACTTTTGGTGAGGATACGAATTGTATGAGGTGCTGAAAATAGTTTCAGAAAGGTGGTGAGCAATGTTTTTCAATAAAAATGACCTTCTTTCATCCATTGTGCCCTTGTATCAAACATGGGTTCTCAGTACATGTGGCTGTTGGTCTCTAAGATTAGAAATTAATAGCATGTGTGTTGTGTAACCAGCAATAATCAGCCTGTCAAAATAAATTCAAGAAAGAGAAGGGTTATTTCTGATCGTTTTATTTTCAACAGTATCTGAAAGTTGACATTGTACAGGGTGGTGCAGAAACCAAGGCTACAGTTGCAATAATGCTGTCAAATGTCCAGCATTTGGTAGGAATATGGAGATATAGTTGTCTTTAACCGTGGTGTCCACCTCCTTTGCCACCACCTCCATGTCCGCCGCCTCCTTTACCACCACCTCCGTGGCCGCCTCCTCCTTTGCCACCGCCGCCTTTACCACCGCCTCCTTTCCCGCCTCCTCCTTTGCCACCGCCGCCTTTACCACCGCCTCCTTTGCCACCGCCTCCCTTGCCGCCGCCGCCACCGCCTCCTTTGCCACCACCGCCGTGGCCACCATAGACTGAACCAAAGAGAGCTGTGAACACTGCAAAGATAAACAGCACATCAGTGGTTTTACATTATCAGACAGGGTATGCTTATACTTCTTAATGGTAGACAGTTTCCAAGCATACTAGCTTTATGATGCATTTAGCCGCATAACAGTTGAAAGAAGTAGCCCATAATGAAAGCTTCAGTAAACACATCACTTAGGCACGTTTATAGTTGATAAGTCAGAATGTCGATGTTAGAATTTCTGTACTTACCCAAGGCCACCACGAGAGCAACTTTAAATATTTGCATCTTGGAGCTTACGTCTATTCACTTTTAGAATAAACACTCTGGATGACAATGTGACAGCTCACAGGGTCTTATATGCGAATGAAACAGGAAATCAACATACTTAATCTCAATACTAGCACTGGATGAAGCATGATATTTGATTATTTACTGCTACTTTTTCCCCCAGCTTTTGTTTTGAAATAAAATTATATTATGTAATATCACCTTGACTTTTGTCATTTTCCATTCTTTATCATGTACATCTTCCTGCATGATCATCAAAGTCATGCTGTGTACCTGCGACCTAACCTGGAATCCCTGGGTTCTTTCACTGCTGGATCGCATGCTGGGTATATTGAATCATCCAATGAAATCACATCAATACCCATATAGGAAAAAGTGAATGGACAGAAGACTTTTAAAAGGAAGCGACAATGCATAAATGGCAGTGCCATATTTCTGTGATGTGCTGACGCTGGTTACTTGGAGTAGACATTTTGTTGCTGTTGTGTCAAGTTACACATATAGTGGATTGTATATGGAACAAACAATGCAGACGGTATGGTAGATTTGAATAAATGCATAAAGATCATGGAACCGATGGTATGCTACTATATTTAGAACTATTTTGATGAACTTAAACTAGCATGTCACCAGAGTTTTATTGAAGGTAATACATACAGACGGTGTGGTATATTTAAATAAATGCATAAAACCCATGCAACCGATGGTATGATGCATACACTAGATCAGCAATATTTTGATGAACTTAAACTAGCATGTCACCAGAGGTTTATTTAAGGTAATACATACAAAACCTTTTGTCTTGACTTTTGACTATATTCGGTGTGTGTCGGCATATGTGGCACTATTTGTGATATCATAATTCTGTGTATAATACAGCCACTTTGGATTCTGAAAATTGCACTGAATAGAAGAAGAGATGTCAGAGCACCTCATTGTAGCTGGAAGCTGTTTGTGTTTCAGCTATGAGATTTAAACCGAGAAAATAACGACAGTTGATGCCTACACAGATATTTGCTGTTCTCACCCTTGCTTTGGAAGGCTTTGTCAGCCGTGATTCAGAGGTTTTTACAGCTTCTCATGGGTGAATTTTCTAAAACTACTTTGAGGCAGGCAGCAATCAATTGAGATTATATATAAACTACCTATTTTGCAGTCGCATTGGAAACACGTGTACGTTTATTAATACAATTGACACATTATCTGTGTATATGAACGTGTCCTTTAAGGTGCAACAGGTGCTAAAATTAAAACATTTGTACTCGGAACCAGACCACTGATATATCCTACAATGTATATTCGCACAATACAGATGTTGATTTTGTTTTTACTTTCGATAAACAATCCCCATAACATCAGCTTTGCTTTGATGCCTACTTTTGGTGAGGATACGAATTGTATGAGGTGCTGAAAATAGTTTCAGAAAGGTGGTGAGCAATGTTTTTCAATAAAAATAACCTTCTTTCATCCATTGTGCCCTTGTATCAAACATTGGTTCTCAGTACATGTGGCTGTTGGTCTCTAAGATTAGAAATTAATAGCATGTGTGTTGTGTAACCAGCAATAATCAGCCTGTCAAAATAAGTTCAAGAAAGAGAAGGGTTATTTCTGATCGTTTTATTTTCAACAGTATCTGAAAGTTGACATTGTAGAGGGTGGTGCAGAAACCAAGGCTACAGTTGCAATAATGCTGTCAAATGTCCAGCATTTGGTAGGAATATGGAGATATAGTTGTCTTTAACCGTGGTGTCCACCTCCTTTGCCACCTCCTCCATGTCCGCCTCCTCCTTTGCCACCACCTCCATGTCCGCCGCCTCCTTTACCACCACCTCCGTGGCCGCCTCCTCCTTTGCCACCGCCGCCTCCTTTACCACCGCCTCCTTTCCCGCCTCCTCCTTTGCCACCGCCGCCTTTACCACCGCCTCCTTTGCCACCGCCTCCCTTGCCGCCGCCGCCGCCGCCGCCGCCACCGCCTCCTTTGCCGCCACCGCCTCCTTTGCCACCACCGCCGTGGCCACCATAGGCTGAACCAAAGAGAGCTGTGAACACTGCAAAGATAAACAGCATATCAGTGGTTTTACATTATCAGACAGGGTATGCTTATACTTCGTAATGGTAGACAGTTTCCAAGCATAGCTCTATTATGCATTT